TTTCGGTTCGTCCCTGACAATCTGTAGTGCAGAAATTGTCCATTCTTAATAAATAACCCTGGCAGTAGAAAAAAATAACAGGATTTTTTTCTCTTCTCAAATCGAAAGATACGTTTTCACTATCTGGGAAAAAACACAGAAGGAGCAGCAGGTGTATGAGTTTTGAATAGAAAACCCTATATATATAATTTCCTCACTTGTCAAATTGATATTTTTAGGCTTGATTTTTCGATATGTGACAAAAGAGTACTTATAGCATCTCTAATTATGAGAAATTAATTTTCTCATGAATGTTTTTAAAAATGTTTGATTTGATATCTCAGGGCAGCTAGAAGATATTACAGAAAATAATGATATTTCTCAGAGGTATATCTCTTTTATAATTAGACCTCGGAATGTTGTATTACAGCCCTAGAAATATCAAGGGGGACAAAATCGGGGCCAATTTGTTGTCGCCATTTCGGGATTTTTTTGGGATAGCATTGGTAGCAACTTCCGGTGTACCGAAAGAACAGCCATATTGAATATATTTCCTTCAAATTATTGAACATCATTGATCTCGTAAATGGGTCATTTGAGATAATATTATTTTATCGGAGTTTGTGTCGATGAATCAACGAACGCAGCATCACATCAACTTGATTGGTAAGTTATGCTTCTTTTTTCAACATGCTGTGACTCAATCAATATACCAATAACCTTCTTTTGTTATGAGGAAAGTGACAGTTCGATTTCTTCAAAATATCTATGAGTAAAATATTCAAGATTCCTTATCAATCTCCGTTTCGATCTATCCAAGAAGCATAGAATTTGTCTATCTATTCACTGAATCGAAAGTAGGCATTGGCTCCGTCATTCTTCATGAAACAAAAACCTTTCAATTTACTCGCACACGGGGAGAAACAAATTATCACAAGTGGGAGGAGAAAAAGATAATAATTGAAATGTAGTCCACATGTTTATTCGATTTTTTGCTTATTCTCTTCATTAGATAACTTATATACAGAGTGAATCATAACTTTTGGGACATAGTTTAAGGGCGGATTGTTTCAACCAAAATATGGCGATAGGGCCGAATATGCCTTGATGAAATATCGCTGTGGAAGAAGATACAGGGAATTTTTTTTCCTATTTGCTAATAATTTCACTGTATATTTATCAATAGTTATCAAAATCGGAATAGAGGCATAATTTAATACAGAGAATATTAGTTTATGTATTATTCTATACAGTTCGTTAGAGGAGGCGCCACGTGAATAATAATTCCTGATGATGAAATCGACTGACGAAAGTTTTTAGTTATTTTGATTAGAAAATATGACATAAACATCATTTCTCCAAATTTACAATTGCAACTGTACGGAAATGTGTTTCGAAGTGTGCAATGATACAGGGTGTGCCATTTGAAAAAAATGAGCTATACGAGCATTTCAAAATTGGAGAAAGTTCATTCCATTCATTTCATTTCATTTATTGCCAGAAAAAAGAAAAATTCTACATTATTACATATTGAGTGGGTCAATACAGTAGATTATACATTTTCATAGTAACTGCAATACATGGGAAAAATACACTTGAAGTGATATTCTGACCACCCTGTATACTTTGTGGAAAGTATAGGAGTTTTATATAATAGAACATGGTATTTACTATTGATCAACGCGAATGTTTGAATAAATTCTTGAAATTGTACGTATATAGATATTTTCATGGACGATGCTCTTCTGAAATATCAACGATTGTTCCTCCCTTGGCAGTCCCCGCGAGATTAACCCGTCGAGTTGAGGTTTCGCACCCCTTCGTGGTCACTTCGGAGACCTGCAGAACATCTCTTTCCAAAGACTCGTTCATCCAACGAACAGCGAGGATACTTCACTTCGAAGATCGGAAAAACTGTTATAACGTCTGTTTTCGAAATCAAAAAACCAGAAGTGAGCATTATTATTTGATGAGAATCCATATTTGTTGAAATATATAAGTTTGATATGTCACATTTTTTTGAGACACACTGTATAATGAAGAATAATTTTAAAATATGTATCTTTTGGACCTACAACTCCTGTAGAAAAGTTTTTCTTCCAGACCAATCTCATTTTTTCCCTATGGCTCTTGACGATAGGATCTTGGAGACGAAAGTATACCATTTTTTACGATTTCAGGGTAAACTTGTAGTTAATATATTCATTGCCAGACGAATAAATTAATTAATTATTCTGATAATGGATCACAGTGGCGTCTGCTATATGAAAGACTTTTTTTATGTTCTGGTCCCCACGAAAAGGGATATCCTGTAATGTTCAGGTAGGAATTGGTGTTCTTCTTAAATTTCTGGAAGTTATATGGCTCGGGGAACACCTCTCTTGGCAATGTGTTCCAGAGCCTCGCTGTTCGTTAGATGTACGAGTCTTTGGAAAGAGATGTTCTGCAGGTCTCCAAAGTGACCACGAAGGGGTGCGAAGCCTCAACTCGACGGGTTAATCTCGCGGGGACTGCCAAAGGAGGAACAATTGTTGATATTTCAGAAGAGCATCGTCCATGGAAATATATATTAAATAGAGCCAGATCGACAACTTTTCTACGATGAGGAGACAAATTGCCCTTTTTTGGACAGATTCCAACAATTTCAGGGTATGTTTGAGTGCTGCACTCCAAATATGGGAACAGTATTCCTGGACAGGTCGGATATGTGCCTCATAGATCATAAGCAGCTGACTGGAAGTGAAATAGCTCCTGGCCCGAAACAGAAAACCAAGTTTTTGGGATGCACTTTCAGCAATTGATCTCGCGTGATTTTCCCAAGAAAGGTTATTGCTGATAGTAATGCCAAGCATCGAAATGGATGGTACTATCATCCGCGAAGCTCTGTACTGGACATGCAGTTGCTTCCAACAAATCGTTGATATATGGAGTAGAAATAGTGTTGGTGCTAGTATAGATCCTTACGGAACACCAACATTTATGATAAGAGAGTCAGATGAAACTCCGTCGACCACTGCATGGAGAGACCTGTTTGAGAGAAAACTAGCTAGCAGTGAACATAGCTGGGGGGGCAAGCCATAAGATGGAAGCTTGGCGAGCAGTCTGTGGTGCCAGACTCGATCGAATGCCTTGGAGATATCAAGGGCCACGGCTAAGGTTCCACCATATATTTTTCAATAGATTGCTGCCATATATGTGAGACGTAAGCGAGCAGGTCACCAGTTGATCTCTGATGACGGAAGCCATACTCCCTATCGTTGATAATACCTGAATGTTCCAGGTATTTCATGAGCTCGATGTTGATAGCTTCCTTGATCTTTGAAATGATAGATAGCAGTCTGTAGGGTCTTTTTGCCTTTTTTTGGAACTGGTTGTACCATTGCAATTTTCCAGTTGGACGGGAATATCCCCAATGTGTAGGAGTAGTTGAACAACTTGCAGAGAACAGGTGTTAGTTCGGGAGCATATTTCTTGAGGACAATCGGTGGGTTTCAGCCGGAGTCACAAGCATTGTTGGTGTTGAGACCCAATGAAATATTCCTTATAGTACATTGGCGAAAGGTGATCTCGGGCATTTGACTGTCAATTGGCGTTATATGTTTGGAAGTTGTTTTCCCGATGAATCCAGAGTGGAATTTCCAGCAAATAAATGCGCAAAAATGTCGGCTTTGTCCTGGGCAGTTGTGGCTAGTGTTATTCCATATTATTCCTTGGTTAGAGGAGGAAACGAGCTGGAAGTGAATTTTCTTCCTACAGCTTTGGTAAAGGACCAAAATGAACGGCATCCGTTAGGACATTCAACAAGTTTTGATCTTATTTTGGCATTATATGAGCATCCCTTGATGATCGAATTGTCTCATTGCACATGCCTCTAGCTAGGGCATAAAAGGCATTTTTGTCAACTGGCTATTTTGTTTTGTTAGGATAATTATAACTACTTATACATAGTGCAGACTGCAGATTCCAGGAACAGAAATAATATAAAAAGTATGTAAACATGGCTCCAGAAATGGCCCCTTATTAGGGGTTTACTGCCCAAGATGGAGGTTTTTTGTAAGATATTTTCGAAACCCTTAGGGGATTAAATATCCAAATTATGTACATTCACCTAACTTTTTATGCCCAATTCCAAAATGTTAAGAAAATTTAGTTAGAGTGCTCCGCCTCGTGCAGTCGGTGCGTTATACTACTATACTATATATTCCTACCTATATTCTTGGAAATATTAGTGGGATGCAGTCTGGATCAATGAATCAATTGAATTTCTTCGTTATTTGTCGTCGAGCTTTCGAAAATTGTTATTTTCTTCATCAAGACTAACTGAAAACATCGAATGGAACAATAATATTATAATATAAATGTACATCAATTGAAATTGGTATACTTACAAACATGAAATTCTATATAAAATTAGCACAAAAAGGAAACATAGGGGTGTATAAATAAAATGAAATGATTTGACAAAAAAATGTAATAGATGATGGTTGACTAATTTGAAGATGTTGAATACAGAGTGAGATGAATACTGATATACCTATATAAAAATTCTGATATATAAAAAATGGTTGTAGATTATATATAAAACATGAATCATTCAAGGAGGACGAGTTGATTTTTTATCTTTTTGTTTCTTTAAAAGGAATGTATAAAGGGTACTAAGATCGTTGATGTCTGTTCTTTTGTTCATCGTTTTATCGTTTTCATTAATATGTACCATTTCAAGAAAGAGGCGTTTGTTGAGATGTTTTCAGTTAGTCTTGATAAAGAAAATAAAAATTTTCGAAAGCTCGACGACAAATAACGAAGAAATTTAATTGATTCATTGGTCCAGACTGCATCCCACTAATATTTCCAAGAATATTATTATAGAACAGTCACGAAAGCTTCCCCTTGTTACCTACCTATAGGTAGGTACCATCAACAAACTACACTCGTAGGTACCTCCAGTTTGCCTTGGGACGGCACTGTTCGGAAACTGTTATAACAGTGTGCCAAATATCCAATGCCAATGCCAAAATATGGCCAACTCTCGGTTTGCACAGTTTATACACACACGAAAGTGAAAATATCATCAATATCATTGTTCACGCAAACTTTTATGTCGTCAATTCCTCAAGATCCTCTTACAATAATATCATTCTGCCGAAGTAGAGCGTGCAGAATTGTAACGGTTTCATCATTTTCTTCTCTTTCTCTCTGCATTTCATATTGAGACTATATTTTTGTAAATAGTTCAATACCTATAGGAATAAGGATATGCATCATTACATTACAAGTGCCAGTAGAACAGTTTTTGAATCGGAAGAAAAATGTTTTCTCGTCGAAAAACTCGAAAATGTTACTTGCCGGCAAAAACGCCGAATTCCCAAGAGGAAGAAGGAAATTGGCTGTGACAACAAAACAGGAGAGAATAGAGGTGAGTTTGTTATTTATTTCAGTTTCACATAAAAGCATGTAGATACCTGATAAATACTCCTCATCTCTATAAAATAAGAATATGAATACTATCACCTCAATAATGCTATCATTATAGTAGTATAGTAGTCACAGTACATTATAAATATTCATAGTATTAATTTTAGTATTTCTGAAGTTTTTGTCTCTTGATTGTTTGTATATGTCCTTAGTTAGGTATGTACCTACTTTTAATTATCACTATTTTAACTTGTAAAGAAATATATTTTAATTTTAATTGCCAATTTCTCATGGATATTTTCATGGACATTTTCTGCGAAACAAGTGCGATATGGCACTTATCGCTCAACAGCTTTATTCATCTCCCCACTAATTATATTTATTATATTTATTATTCATATATCTTGTTGAATAAAGGTCATTATTATTATTATATCAATATACGTGTAGTGAGGATAAATCAGATGATTTGTCCCAAAATATCACTGCGTTTAAAGAATTTTCCTATAAGAAAAATTCACTAGCTTGTCAGTGACAATTATATCGAAAAAGGTTTGGAGAAGGGAAATGAAGGTATATAGAAAAAATATCAGATTTTTACTTATCTTTGGCCGTTTCGGGAACGAATCTGCTCCCATTTTCAACATGAAGATGGATTTTTCGTATTGCAAATTCGTATTTGTCCTGACACTTTTCAGTCCTCGGTGACAAATTGGTGAAGTTGGCAATCAAATGAGTTACAGGATGTTTTTTCTAATTATTCATTTTGAATCCACCATTTTCATTCTCAGATTTCAGTAGTTGTTCTATCTATATCAACTGAACAGGAAGCAATGCTATTGTGTCCGTTCAGAAAACGGGAGCAGATTCTTTCCCGAAACGTCCAAAGATAAGTTAAAATTTGATATTTTTCTATATAGGTACCTTTTTTCTCTTCTCCAAACCATTATCAATTTTTCTTTTACGCTCTCTGATAGGAAGATTCTTTGAACGCAGTGACATTTTGGGGCAAATCATCTGATTTGTCCTGACTACACGTATATTGAAATAGTATTCACTTTTTTATTTTATCGAGATGAGGAGAGAAAATCCCAAAAAAAAATCTGGAATAATGTAGGTACCTGATTTTACATATATATCCGAGTAGGTATCTACCTAATTAGAGCGTAACACACTGGCACCGGGTTCTGGGAAAGTGGTCTGATCCACTTTTAAACTTTTATGCTGGTAACTTATGAGATAAGACAAAGTGTTTGTGACTATTATTTGTCGATGCAATTGTTTATTTTCCCAGGGACACAGTTTAGGCATAGATTTAAAAAAAACATGAATCTATGGTTTAGGCAAGAATCTAATTGGTGTCCAATAAGATTCCTCAAACTATGTGCCCAGGGCCGAGTTTAAATAGAACACGGCTTTAATAAAGCAACGTCAGCAAAATGTAAAATATATGAGGCATCAGTGGCATCAGGTTATATTCCCAGATCTAGTTAAAAATGGGAGGGATTCAGACGACTTTTTTTCACCAGAGACTAAAGAATATGCGGAACACTTTTTTATTAGTATACAGGGTCAGGGATGGCATGAAAATTTGACGAAATATTGATAAGGAGGGTAACTGATGAGGCATATATTTCTTTTCAGACTATACCCAGAGAAGGCACCTCAATCTATAACCCCATACAAGGTTGTTAGAATTGATGATTATTTGTAGATAAAGGTTCCATTTCGTAGTCATCATTGGAATCTATATATATATATATTACAACTGTCAAATTTGATAATCCAGCTGTGATTTGGAAATTTACATACCTACCCAGCAAACATCGAAAGGCGGTAGAAAGCCGGGCCCATGGCGAGAACGGCGGGCAAATGTCGATGTCGGCATGCCTCGAAAGGCCCTCCAAATGATTTCGAAGGATTATGTGACGAAGGCAGAATGTACACATACTTATTATAGGCCTCTGTTTCCCAGTCGCTAGTTTTCCGCTGTATGTATCCATGTCAAAGGGCCATCAAAATTTCAACGGAGTGTGCCATCATCACTCACTCAACGTTGGCATCCCTCGCTCGCGTGAATTTTTATTTTGATCATTTTGCAGTGGTAACAATGATTCAGTATGGCGTATATTGATTTCTTTGTTTATGTTGTCTCAACACTCTCAAAAGAGATTTTAGTACTGTGTTCAGTTATGGTTCAGTTCGTGTTTGGTTTTCTTGTGGATTTTTATACAAAATAGAAGGGAATTGAAATAAATACAGAGTGAGTGAGGAACAAACATATATACAAACTTGCACAGCTGAAAAATTCTATTTTAGATAATAATTTAACAAACACCATTGGACAAACAGATGCAATAATAGTTTGGACGTGTTCAGCGGATACACAAGAATATAATAATTGAGGACTTTGAAGATGCATGAGCTTTCATTACATATGAATCATAACGAAAATCAAAGATAGCTACTTGAAGAAATAGTTATATTTCAATACTGTAGGTATGTATAAAGTTGCATGTTTTGGATTAGTAGAGAATGAAATCATTCAATCTTTCAGCTACAAAATCAACAACCAGAAGCCCATCAATTACAGATATTAATGAAGAAAGCACACAATGATCCAGACTATATGATATGAATTATTTCATGGTATATGATATCTCACTTCCAGGCAACACTCATATATCAATATGATGAAGAGTAAGGTTCTCCATATCTGGAAATTGTTTTCTTGTAGATTGAACTTCATTGTTGACAATAACTTGATCAATATAATAACTGATTACCTACATACCTTTCAAGTTATTAGGTAGGTACATAGGTGATGTAATTTTTGACCTAGAGTTAGCAACTTTTTGAAACAATGAGGATACAGAGTGATATGTAGAACTAGAATTAAGATGTTTGATGTTTCCATAGTTGTGATATGTATTGGTTGTGATCATGGCAATAATATACACACATGGATATTTTCAGTTCTTGTTTTTGTATGGGGTATTTATACTGCTAGTTTCCTGGAAATAACTGTGATATCAGAATGCCATCTCAGAAATTTTTATGTGATTATTCAACAACTTCAGGTAAGGAGTGAATTCCACATTTCTGTTTTACCCAGAGGATTCACAAAAAACTCGGAGACCTCAATTCTGTTTTTTGAAGTTCCACATTTTTTATCCAGTTTGAAAATAAAGAGAGAGTGATGAAAATCTGAGTGAAAATGAGATACGTTGCTTTCCAAGTGGTGATATATAAACTGGAATACCTTTCAAAAAACCTATTTTCACTGAGATATGTGCATTACCCTATATAATCTTTGACAAACCCAGTTGAAAAATGGGACATCAAAAAACAGAATACTATGAATATTTAATTCATTCAACCCCGTTAACCAACGGCCCTGAAAGACTCCTCTATCGGGGGAATGAAAATACTCAAGCGGCCAATTAATGGCAGTCTCTGAAAAGTCTCAATCGGGCCGAAGATATGCCATGAATGCAGTACATTTGAGTACTTGCTTCTGCCCACCAGAAGCCCTGCAACGTAATAAGCGGCATACTGATGGCTCTAGTGAGGCGGTCGGCTGTCGGCCGCCGGGACACGGGCTAGCCGGCCCAATTTAGTTGTACAATAGAGGACCGCTGTTACCGCTCGCCGGCAAGTTTCATTGTACCTTTAGAGGGCCGCAAAAATCATGTTTGCTGGGTACAGTTCTCTGATCCCAACATGAAATTTCGGATGCGATTACGTCACCAATTACCACTTCCCCTCATCGCGTTTTCTGATCGAGGCATAATAACCTTCCTCTACAAATAATCATCAATGCTACCAACCTTGATGATACCCTAACCTTTGATACTCCAAGCATATACCCACGATATTTAAATAAAAATATGGCAATCCCTATATTTTTTTGTCATTTATGTAAGTGAATTTTTTTTGTAAAAATTAAAGTACTCACAAATGTATGTGGAATGTATTTATATATATAATTATTTTGAAATTGAAATAATGCAACTTTTAAAATGCATTATATGATGCGATGAAATATTCAAAAGCTTATATTGAGACCTGCTTAGTTAGGTACTTTATGATTATATTGTTCAAAATGGGTTAAATTGTTTTCATAACATATATACAAGCAAACAGCCGATATATTTTAAAACTATATATTCGCGAAAGGTTTGGAGAGATTTTGGAATATATCTTTGAATGAATATATATAAATATATCCGTTCCACAGAAGAAAAAAATATGGAATTTATGATAATCTCTATAGAATTATACATAAGGAATTAGGAATTCGAAAACGTCAAACAGAAATACGACTAAAAAATTCCACGAAAATATAAATAGTGGCCTCCTCTACTATTGGAATGAAGAATCATGGAAAAATATATACAAAAATATATATCTACTTATTACTGATCCAACATATTTTGCAACTATTCAAAAACCTATAGGAAATCCATAGATGAAATGGAAAATTTCAATATATACACACATACGAACTTTCCTTCTTTCGAATTATTCACCCAGGCCAATTCATAAATGTTTTCTTTAAACGAAAATGAAGGAAATTGGAAAATTACAACTAATATTCTAAATTCAATAAATAGATCAGATCACCCTGTATACCGTACAGTTCAGTGTGCTTTTCGCGTTTATTGGCTTTTTGTGTGTTCTACGGTCACAATTCTGTGCTTTTGTTCTGTGTTGTCATTTAGTTGTCATGAATAATTCCTGCCATCTGTCACTTTCCGAAAATTATTCGAATGTTTGGTTTGGTGTTCCCGCCTGACATTTTCGCTGTATTTCACAAGTTTTCACAACTTTTCAATAGCGTTCATTCAGTTCAGTGAAACTCGCCATGTCTAAACGTGAACGTGAATTGAAGAGAAAACTCCAAGAAGAACAACAAGCTGCAGCATACGTATATCAAGATTTCATCGACACCTTTCACAACCCTTCATCTGTGAACAAAACATTCGTACGATCTGGAACTCTATACGCAGACAAGGAAGAAAACGATTCTGTTGGAAAAATCTACAATCCGAAACCGCTTATCAAGCAGCAAAGAATCGACACCAAATCTACAGCTATTGAATGCGCGAAAATTCTCCAAGACACCGTCCTGGACAAACCAATGAAAAAACATGAAAAACCGAAATCAAATTTGGATCTGTTGAAAGAGGAATTGAAACAGAGGCACAGTGAACGTGGCGAAAAAGAAAGACTGAAGGAAGATTACGAATGGGATGCATCTTTGAATTGCTACTCTGAGGGTACGTACAGTCACATGACAGTTCAGGATTTCTGAAAGCTATTCTCATCAATCTGATAATCTCTCCATCATTGAAACTTAACTTTGAAACAATTTGGAATGTTGTTGGTTGTTGGAGAAGTTGGAGATAATGGATGATGTAGGAACCAATGAGAACTCAGAGCAGTGTTGCCAACACGTAGTGTTCGGTAAACATCGATCGATAGTTTTTCAGAAATTATCGATAGTCTTGACCTAGGCTGTCGATGTTTGCCGAACACTATCATGCTGAACAGCTCAGATGAATTTACAAATATAGCCATGTTATTAATGTTTTTGGTACATTAAAGTATAATTCCAAACACAAAATTGAATAGTTATAAAACCTGATCTGGGTGAATGAAATCATTACAAACTAGGAAAGTATACAAAAATTATATAGTCTTCCACATTTTATTTCCTCAAACGAACAGATGAATATAAATAGGTACTTTCATGACAGGTATAACCAGAAATGGAATGGCTGAGTTGGCAACACTGCGTCTCAGAGCACTGTCAATGAGACAGTGGCTATGGCTAGGTTACCGTCAGTGAGACAGTGGCTAAGTTATCGTCAGTGGGCTCGGATGATCTCAAGCTAGCGTTTAGTCATGTTCAGTAGAGTTAGGCTTCCATCATAAAACTACTTGTGTTCCACAAATTCTCTGAAGAATATTATAATTCTTCTCATAAATATCTTTGTACAACGGTCCAGAACTGCTATCCTGAAATAAGTAGACACTTATATATCAATTAGAAAGTATAGAAACTTACTTCCAGTCGAGCTATTTCAGTTAGTGCAATTGTAAACTGCCTAGAAAAAAATGCATGCTTTCCATTCACGAAATATCCAAAGGTAAAACCAGGATGGAGACAGGAAAAATTATCATTTTTTTTTTTGAGGTGGGGATCCGAACACTACCAATCTCTTCGTAGCCAATCTGCGATCCACTGTCACCGAAAACCATCTGATGCTGGAATTCGGAGCTTATGGCCCTTTGGCTAGCGTGAAAATAATGTGGCCTAGAGCTGGCGATGAGAAGAGCCGACTGTCCAATTGCGGTTTTGTGGCCTTCATGAGTCGAAAGGACGCTGAGAGGGCATTGAAGGTAATAGAATATCTTGTTTATTATTCAGATAGAACATTATCCAAGTAAGTATTGTGTATTAATTGTGCATAAGTTAATGAACAGAAAAATCATCTTTCATACGGATCTATACTACAGAGAAGATTCTGTATTTGCTATAGTCAAAAGAGATATCTGAGTGGATTTGACCTCCTCAGAGACAATGAAAAATTTGAAGATATATATTAGATAACAATCCTAAACGGAAAAAGAGTCTAGAAATCGAAGTTTATTGAGATTAAAAATGATTTTATATCAAAAAGTCGAAATAATTCATGTGGGGTTTGAAATTTCGGGACCTACAATTTGAAGGGGATTCGGAACCACTTCTATAGGGCCGCCAAGATGCTGCCATCAAGATCACAATCACAGCTCAGCCTAAAGATAAAACCGACAGGGTTTCAGTTAGACTTTTTGACCTCTGATGCAAACGTTACTGCGGTACTGTTAAATCAAAGTAATCAATTGAAAGAGTTACTGTACATTCTTGTCTGGAATGCATACATACCTACCTTCTCACAACCATAAACAGAATTCAAAATACAACCATCCATCAATATTAACTCAATGTACAATGGATATTACTTTGATAATGTTCCTATAATTATTACTAATCTCTTCACTAATCATAACTAATACCGATATTAGGAAAACAAGCACAGAGATGATATCCGACTGGGCTGGGGTAAACCAGTCGAAATCCCGACGCATCCTATCTACATTCCTGGAGAGCTCCTTAAGTACTACTTACCGCCACCCCAAACAGACCTTCCATTCAGTGCGCAACCACCAACCCAGAACATCCCTTCCGATGAGAACGAAATCGCAGACTTCCTATCCAAATGCAAGATCAGGGTGACCATACCTCTGAACAAGAGGGTACTGGCGTTAGTCCATAGAATTGTGGAGTTTGTCCTGCGAGAAGGACCGGTGTTCGAGGCTTTCATAATGAACAGAGAGATAGCCAATCCGGACTTTAGTTTTCTGTTCGACTGCAAATCACCGGTGCACGTTTACTACAGATGGAAATTGTTTTCCATACTGAACGGGGACGGTCAGAAGAGTTGGTCACCGAAAAAATTCAGAATGTTCACCGGAGGTTCTATCTGGGTTCCCCCCACTCCTGTGAACTTCGCAGACGGAATGCCCGATGAGTTGATAAGGAACAAAAGGAAAGCCGATCAACTGAACTCGCTGTCTAACTCACAGTGTAGCAGATTGGTGAATCTCTTGAGGAACTTGACTCCTCATAGAAACAAAGTTTCTGAAGCGATGCAGTTCTGCTTGAACCACAAAAATGCCATCGATGACTCAATAGAGATCATATTAGAATCGATGATGGATCCACAAACTGACAACCTGAAGAAACTCGCGAGATTATATTTGCTCTCGGACATATTACATAATTGCAAATCGAAGAGACTAAGGACGAGTCTAGAGGACGACTACGCTAGTTTGGTTGAAGTCTTCAAAATCCTCGACCAGAGCTACCAGCAGATGAAAACAACTTTTGATAAAGAAAGCTTCAAGTCTAGGATCACGCGGGTCCTGAAGCACTGGGACACCTACAAGATATTACCTGCGGATTTCCTCGGGAAAGTTGAGGATTTATTCGCTTCTCCTAAAAGTGACCCATTGGAGGATGACGATTCCAGCATAGATGAACCTTTAGACGGAGCTAAGCTTCTCAAAAGGTCATTAGGAAAGGATGTGAGTCCTAAGGTTGTGACGATCGAAGAGTTGGATACGAGTGGTATAAGTAAAAGAGAAACTGGGTTGAGACTCGAGTATTTCGTTCCTTCCAAGTGGGATACAATAGATCCAGAAGAAATCGAAGCACAAGCTATGTCTACGGAGAAACTCTATTACATGGAGTTGGAGAGTAAAGTCAAAGAGGTGGCGAAAAAGGCTAAGAAAAAAAGGAAGACTCGACTTTGAATAAAGTGTTTTGTATCCAGTAGATTGACTAATAATGTGATGTTTGAAACGTTTGAGATTTGATTTATGTGTTGTTACTATGTGTTCTGAATAAAATTCATTATTTCCTATGATATGGCTATTTGATTCCAGTTATGAATTAGATATCATGTCTCTGTCGCAAACGTCACGAAAGATCCGCACAAATGCGTCGTTTACGTTGTAAAGTGGGTATAGTCTATAGATATACCGACGTTCTTCCTACTACACCTCAGGATATTCAAATTCCCTTTAATTTCGATATAATTATTCGATTTCAGATTTTTCGGCGGAAAAATTTGTGGAAGAACTCTTGAACGAAGCTGGTCAACATTCGTGTGATGAAACTTCAGATGCTTTCAATGAAAGCACAGACATACCAAACTTTTACGATGAAAAGCTCTTCAGAAAGTTAGTTTTATTTCAGCTCATCCATGCAGCGTGAAGTATAGTCTGCTATAAGGTTTATTTGAATTTCAGGGGACAACAGTTTTTCTACAAGTATATCTTCAGTCTCTTCTTCAGTAATATTTTAGGCTTATTACTACTATGTGGATTCTCAGAAACACTGAATATACTTAAAATGACGAATAAATCTAGCACCCCTATGACAGCATACAAGAGATATATGGCTACCATTTTTCATATGATGACTTGGTATGATTCCGATTTCAAACCTGGTTCGAGGTAAGAAGCACGTGCATGTTGCACCTAATGTTCAATGTTCATCAGTCTTGATACATACATTCTTCCAAAAGATCATGGTTATCTCTTCGAAAAGTAAGACTACTGCATAACCATTCAAGTAAACAGAGCAACTCCACCCTGAAATACAGAATAAACCAAAAGCAAATGTCTATCACGCTTTTTGGCTTTATGGGCCTCGGTCTGATCAGGAGCAAGATGCTTGGAATCCACAAGGCCACAGAAGAAGAATGGAGAGGATTCATACACCTATGGAGAGTCATTGGATACGCCTTGGGCATAGAGGATAGGTAGGATAACATTGTAAACCACGCCCCAAAGAGTAGATAATGGGTCAGTCGTGACCCCAGTTGATACATCTGTTTTATTACTAATGTACCACGTATAAGCTATGAAAGTGTGTCTTCAAATTTTGTTGCAACAAAGTTATTTTTCATCTGTGATGAAACAAGTTGCATTAATTTTAATACTGTGATTTCTGTGGTGGCTCTTATTGGATCTCTCAATTTTATCACGTTGATGAAACCTTGTATGATGAAGCACTGTTTCATAGCAAAGGTCTGTGACTGGTTGCAAAGCAAACTAATTGATTCTCATGTCATGTTTTGTTCTTCAGGTTCAATATATGTCGCGAATCGGTATCAGAAACCAAAAGCATTTGTAATCTGCTAGTCGAAAGAGTATTCATTCCTGTCATGAAGAAGCCAGCTGATGATTTCCATATGATGACCAAAGCTATGCTCGATGGTTTGTGGGCGATGAACCCAGTTCTTCGACACGACGTTTTCGTTCAGTTTGCCCAAATGGTCATGGATGATGACAAAGATCCGAACTACAAGAACGAACATTTGCCAGAGCTGACTGAACAGGGCAAGAAAACGTTGAAACTTCTTCTTGGTATCACGTGGGCGTTACAGTATAGTGTGATCAGGATTTTCTTGAATTTGACGCAGGTGCTAGCCTTGCGGATCATGAAAGTATTCCCGTTTTTAGCTTTGTATAAGTTTGGGGTAGATCATTCGTACGTCAAAATTTAAAATGTCTAGAAAATATGGTGTAAATAAAAATTGTTTTGTTGTCTTCGTGAATTCATTGTTCAGAATATAAATTCCCTTATTGTTATCACAAAGATGACGGAATTTTCATAATTACATATATATTCAATGTTTATATTATGTATTATGTATTGATAGCGAAATGATGATTATTATTGACATGAAATGTGGTTGATAAGTGATTTATGTGTTTTCTGTGTTGCCGGTTATCAGAAAGATTAATCATTTTTTTGAATCTTAATTAAATAGACGAAAAGAGTTGAACTCAACAAATACCTTTCAGATTATCGATATTCTCGCCATATATCATCGAAGTCAATATTTTATATGTTGGAAATAGATGAACCAAAAATTATAGTGAGATGTTTCCTTCTGAATCGATAATGAAAATGACGAGATAATGACCTACCACGAATAGTTATATCTTTGTCACCCGGTATATTTTCCAGGACAATCGTAGCATTAGTCGACTTTTGGAAACATGGCAGGTACCCTTACGAGGAGAGTGTACCGGTACTAGAAGTCTGTAAACTCTCTCTACTAGAGACATTGAGGTAGGAATATACATATGTTTCATGATCATGATCAAGGAACATTATTGTCGTTGAGGAACTATCTCTTGATGAAAACTTGACCACAAGAAGGTAGATTTTTTTTAGATAAGTGCTCATGTGAAGGTATATGAGACCGAAACAAGAATAGGCATACATATAGCCAGTATACTCTGATGGGAAAAGGCCAACAAGTACTGGTGGATCCGTCTCTAGAAGTTTGTCACGTTGTTAATTGTCCTCAGGGAGAGGTGTGCAATGTTTATCACATGTCTGTGCGATCAAATATCAATTTCTCCTTTGATATTGGTAGGCATCCACCTGATATTGATATTTGTGATACAAGTGATGCAGGCTTTATTTTACTCATCAGGATTTGTTCGTCGCCGTGTTCTCGGAATCATATGGATCACCCTGTAATAACGTTGATAAAATCAATCTCGTATCTCAATAGCACTTGACCAATGAATTATCGATCGCTGTCGCAGTCATATCTAATTGAATTAAATGCAAATTTTGTTTAGTTTTTACTTCATTCTATTCTTTATATTAATTACATTATTCCGATCAAATTCTGACTTTTGACCTTAAACCGACGTTAATGTTTCTTGTATTTCCGATGAGATGTGTATTCTTTAAGTGTAAATAAGCAGTTCAATTGATAGTTGATATGAACGAAAATAAGAGCAGCTTCAATTCTGATGGAGTTGAAAGAAATGATACTAGTAAGTACAAATAGTAAATAATTAATTAATTGCTTGATGTCAAGAGAAGTGATGGAATAGATATATTCTCTAAACTTTTATGGAATCTCCGTATGCCCTACTATTCAATTAACTCTATTATAGTTCATGGGATAAAATCATTATTTAGGCATATTCACATATAATTGTTTGTTTTCCAACTGCATATATTCTTGAGTATTCGCTTAATCGTTTCGATTCTGAAAAAATATGTTGGATTCGAAAAAGTCTATAGCTATACTGTTTCTGTTTAAGACTTTCCAGAATTTTCGGCAGAAAAGTTTGTAGACGAATTACTTACTGAAGGTGAGAAATTTACTTGTGACGAAACTTCGGATTCCTACAATGACCATTTCGAAATCCCGCCATTTTATGATGAGAGCTTGTACAAAAAGTAAGTCCACTGTAATAAACGAGATACTCGAACTCATCTCCTAATTTATCTTCGTAATCCCATACTGTCATTTAGATTTAACGGTATTCAGATGACAATCTGTTAAGATTGTTTAACGGCCGGCGGCCGTTATAATATTATTGTGATATTGTTAAGCTGTTCCCTCGGAAAAAAATGTCATCTTTCAGCGGGAAAATTCTTAAACGTTATTTGTTACATTTCGGCCTTGTAACGTTGATAACTGTACAGTGTGTCTCAGGTTTAACTCGTCGAACTTTGACAATCGATAGAAATCATTGAAATATTAGATACGTATTTTTTTGCTTCGTCGTGGAGAGCCATGTTTTCATTATACGGGGTGTCAAAGTTCGCATATATTTTTGTTTTTATTTTTTATTTCAGTTGTAACAAAACCTAGCGATTTGAAATCAGGTTATCACTCTTTAATCGGCAATATGAATAGTCCTTATCAATAAAGGGGAATTAGCTCCATTGGGTGTTATTTTTTTCGAGCCCTTTGACATGGAACCCATCAGATTTTTTTATTGGGACGTAGTAGTGGATTGAACCAAATGAAAAATCATTATCATTTTTCCACCTCACTTTGTGTTTTTCATTTGTTTCAATATCTTTCTGAGTTCCCGACTTATTGAGCAAATCATATCAGGCCCATCCTTGGCCACATCGTACTCAATTGGGATTATTGAACAAAGTTATAATGGTGTGCTCTGGACATTGTTGAATATTGAAAATGATCAATAAAAATTGTAGTGGTTACTAGTTATGGAATTCTGAAATGAATTGTTCACGTCCGTGATCCATTTAATATTCAACTCGAATGATAATTTAATGTTAGATAAACATACAGGTCAAAAAAGTGATATGCATAGTATAACATTATTTCAAATAACAAGAAAACTGAGAAATATATCAAGGTGAATAAATGAGGATCATTTTTCATCAGCTACATAATTCACAATTAGCGTCCCACTGGAAAAAATTTGTAGGGTTCCATATCAGTGGATAAAAAAAACGCCCAGTGTAGCTTAGTCCCCTGTATTGATAAGAGCTGTTCATATTGCCGATATTGCTCACCAAACTTCAAATCGCTAGGTTTTGTTTCAACAGAGATGAAAAGAAAAACCAAAAATGTATGCGAACTTTAACACCTCGTATAATGAAAACAAGTTTCTCCACGACAAAACAAAAAATGCGTGTATACTATTTTGATTTTTGCTATCGATTGTCACGAGTTAAACCGGAGACACCCTGTATATATTGTCAGCGATCTAATGTATATGTACGCTGTTATTGTTATGATATACATATGTTCCTATTCAATGTTAAGAAACATCGATATTCTGATAAGTGATGGAAAACTGTTATTTTCAAATAGACAGGGTGATTCATGTATAGGATTCACATTGGAAGTTTTTCATTTTCAGTTGGAATAAATCGTAATCGATCATTTCCAATACACCTGAAGTATTTTTAATCCTCCAGTCATACAGAGTGTCCAACAGCCGGCATCAAATTTCTTATTTTAAATAGAATAGTATATTGAAGTATGTGCACACATGCGTTTGCTCCTTCATTTAAAGACATCAACCTGCCAATTTACTCCCACGGGAGGAAAAAACATATCTCCCTATATAGGGAGGTAAAATAAATTGTCTTTAGCTTACTTCCTTTGTAGAGATACCACTAGCTGATTAATAGGATTGATAGAACTAAATCTACTTATAGTACTTCCAATATATCAGGCAAGATTCTTGGAGCTTCTCATGATGAACTCGCTGCCATGTTCTTGTGCAAGAGATTTCAAACGATGCATGTGTATTGATATCCTAACATCATTTTTTTCAGGGGTCAAGACTTTATCCACAACAACATAACTAGCTTCCTCGTCACTTCTTTGTTTGGATTGTTGGCTCTAGGTTGTCGTCCAACTTTAAAATTGTTGATATTGACGCAAAAATCTTGTACTCCACTGAAAGCATACAAAAGATATTTGGCAACAAATTTATACATGCAGGATTGGTACAATCATGACTTCAAACCAGGATCGAAGTAAGAAACATTATTTAACATAAAAAATATTTAGGTAATCACATCAAAAATGATAATCCATAGAATTCTAGTTTCCTAAATATCAACACAAATGTAGAAATTCTAGTCAAAGAGTCACACTGGCACACAAGTTTAATACTATGACAATTTTTCAAATATCACCCGATATATTATTCTATTTTTGAAATCTCCATGAAAAGCTATATATGATATAGTCCAATAAACTATCTATCTATCTATGGTACGAAATAAGAACGGAATTAAATTACACAGGATGTTATTTAACTGCTAGATCTCATAACTAAGAGATCCAGGATGAACAGTGTTGCCCCAATTGTCAGCAGGAGCGAGACAGTACTGTTTCGACTCACCAGGTCTCATCAGCCGCTCTCGGTCTGCTTATTTAATAAATGCGACAAACTTCAGGGGATGATTCTTCGTGATATTTCACGAAATAAAGTTCATATATGAACATGTGTCCTAATAACTCGCTCGTTTTCGAGTTTGTTGAATAAAATAAATCACATATAATAATTTTGAGGATGATCGAAAAAGTGCTATGTTGAGATATTTTTGTCTTTCTAGATCTTGGCGTGCACTGGGAATAGTTCGAAAAATGCACAACAGCGCCAGCAAATTGGGCCACCAAAAACTGGATTACAGGATCAACCAAATGGAAATGGCGATCACCCAGTTTGGCTTCATAGGATTTGCGGTGGTGAGAGGAAAATACATTGGATTGTACGAGGCATCCGAAGAAGACCTGAAAGGTGTGATACATTTGTGGAGGGTCATAGGATATGCTCTTGGAATAGAAGATAGGTCAGAAAATTCAAATGAAATTAATATTCATCTTTTTCCACCACTAGCTATGAAACCTACCGTTATTTACTCCTTTTGGAGGCGTTAAAAGTGTGTTCGTCATTTTATCGAACCACTAGCCAATAAAGACATAGCCACCTCTGTTATCATTAACCCGAATTCACTGTTCTGATGCGAGATTCGCAAGAATGGCACTCGAATTTATTTATCAATAACGACCTTTGTCGTGTGTTGTCGTGGTCATGGCTACTAGATTTCAATCAGAATTGACAAGAAGTTCTTTCATAGTGAGAGAGAAATTTGACTGGTGGGCTCACTCTTCAATTGTTTCGTCGTGGTCAGACTAACTGAGACTAACTCTCGATATGGAACAATTGCAAGCAAGTTTTGGACGTGGGGTTCAGGTATTTGCGATAGAGGCGCCATAATCGGAAAATCGTTCAAAACCTTGGTTCTGTGAGGGATGACTCTATTTCCATCATTGTTCTGTGGTCGAATAAATACTGTGCTCAACATTTTCATTCAAATTTCAATTTGAAATAGAAGCAAGAAATCTTTTTTGTAGCCGATTTTAATAAGCTTCACTTCTTACATGACATGAACCTATTTAAAGCATGAAATCTGATGAATTTCCTCTTTGAAGAACCAGAACAAAGAATGTATCAACTATTGAAATAGACCAATGTCGAAAATCATAATAGGCAGATATGGTAACTGGTACTCACTTTAGACTTTATTCACACCAGTTCACGCTAATATTTCAAATCACTGAAATAATACTGTTGTAGAACAGAGATTTTCTTTTTTCTATGGTGGATTAGGTATTATACACAAAATCTAGAAACTACGGAACACGTCCCTAACGAACACTTGACCCCAATCTCAGAAACCCCCATTTTCCAGCTCAAGAATATTTTTGACATATTGACGTTTCGATCCTTTGATCAGGAATCAGTTCACTGCTCTGATCCAAATCATATACGTATCCAAATATTTATCGGTCGGTATAATATGTTTCCTGTGAATATGGATTGTAACCAGGATGAGCTTAGCAAGTTTTACCCACGTCAAGTATGTTTATCAAAGGTTTATCAGAGTAGGCGCCATCGAGAAACTTGCAAACGACCTTCAATAGGGAGCAAGCGCACCAGTTAAATTTCTATACATCTCTATAGTGAGAATATGTTCATATTTCAGTATCACAAAATTAAAATGATTGAAATGTATCACTACTGGTGAAAAAACATTGACCTTGTTGGTAAAGAATATTTTTACCGCGGGACCTTGTACCCTTCAGCTGAAGCCTCGGGAAATAATCTTGGTCCCTGGGCAATCAGTGACGGGCCCATGAGGGGGGGCAGGGCGGGTCCACCCCCCCCCCCTAATTCTAGGCGAGTTGACAAATGGAGTTTGGGAAAGTTTCACCAAAAAACGTTTCATAGTGAATATTTGTTTTTTCTGACGTCAAACTAGGGATTTTCTACATCCAAACAAAATGTCCAGATGACAGAAATTTTATTTCAACAAATAATTCTCAGATTTCAGTTTGTTATAGTTTCAGTTATATTGCCCGAAATGAGTTCATTCGAATAAAGTCATACATTACCTGTTTGTGAGACAGTGGAGAGATGATATTCCCATATCACTGATCTGATACGAATGATTTTCGGAAATTTCAAGCTCATCATGATTAGAGTTTATACAAGTATACTTCTCCTATACATTTCAATTTTCATTTCAATACTGAGTATATTGGTGAATTATATTTTTATATCATTATAAAATATCATATTATCTATCCGATTTGAAAGTGATTGTTAATTCTCAATTTCAGAAAATTTTATTTTCATGTTCTCTTTTTAGATGTTCAACAGATAAAATTCAATGTTCGACGTGGCGAATAGCCAGGAAAGTAGTTGTTTTCTGTTGAATATTCAGAATGATATCATGTGCATGTATATCCTGATCTGAACGAGAATGCAAATTCTCGATAGAGTTGATATATTCATCACAAAGAGAATGCTAATTCTCAATGTATTTCTATACATATATCCATTTTTTCATATTCATAATATATCTGAGAATATTTCTTTTCAATACTTTCATACCCAATCAAGGAGTTCAAACTTTTTTCTTTCCACGTCCTATATGAGGAATATCGATTTGTCATACACCCGAATAAGAATTTCTAACTTGAAAAAAATGAAATTTTGATTTTGTAGTCTGAATTTCCAAGTTTGATCATGAAGGAAAATTTCATTTCCAGTTCAAACTGTAGGAACTTCCAACTGCAAACTCAAACTTTCCGACTTATGAATAAAGAATTCAAAGCCAGATTCAAAGCTCGAAGTTAAAAAAAATCAAATTTCAAATTTTGAGTTGGAAATATCAAGTTTCAATTCGAAAAATGAAATTCCCAGTTACAGAGCTTCTCGAAATTTGCAACCGATGAAGAAATATTATATTGTAAAATAAATGGAAAGATAACCCAATACAACGTCATCCTTGGTTTTAAATGCCTTGTCCAAAACGAAAAAATTTAAAATTTAAAAATGAGTTGGCAAAATTCACTTACTGCCCCTCCCCCAAAGTCTCTTCTGTCTTTTCTAGATATTTTCATGAATTTTGCCATGACCCCACTAATAACCAATAGGCATTTTTTGATGTAGGAGATATATATTTTATACTTTTACCAATGGCGTCCGTATGGGATGTACCTATACTGGAGATTTTTCTAAAAAAATTTTGGAAGCCCTTCTTTTTCCGAAAATAAAAATAATCGTTGAATTCGTTGCGATAATCCCTGACCGATTCTGGATATGATGATACAGGGTGCTCCATTCAAAAATCGAAAGTTGGGTAATTTCCGATCAAACTGAAAGAACGGCAAGGCAAGTTAGATATGTCAAAAAATGTCAATTGAACTATAACTCACACCCCAAAATTTCGTTTTATTACCTTCTATAATAAAAAAAGTTATGGTGGTGAGCCACCTTCGGAAATCACCCGATATACAATTTCTCGATGATTGGATTCGTTTAAATAGGAATTATTGACCCCATTGAATTCAAAGTCTTGAACACAATTTCCACTTGAAACTTATCACCAACACGTTTTATTTCATCAGATATATTTTATGAGATGATGATTATTGATAGATGTATTTGTTATGGCGTATTTTGTTTATTTTCAATTTGGTAGATCGTTTCATCGATTAAGTTTGTCATATTATTTGAGTTGATGAATTGGTTGATAGGGTTAATTTTTTTATCTAAAATTGATTGGTCAGATGATGGATTATGCTCTGTATCATGAAGTGATATACATTTGTAACAAAAACATTATTTGATTTGTTTGTTGAAAACCATTTTTATGTTGAAAACGGGAGCTGATTTGTTCCTGAAACGTCAATAGACATGTGAACATTTTTAAAATTGGTTGATGATTTTTTAGTAAACAAACTACATCATTTTAGGAAGAAATAAAAATTCTGAATAATTTTTGAACCATCAATTACACTTGGATGATACAAATATGGTTAGTTTGATTGCAAATGATCTCTCCCTACCACCCCACTTGTTTCGATCCATAACTTATAGGACACCCTGTAGAAGCGGAGGGGAAGATCTGAAAAATTCAGAGAAATGATATCGCTCTATACCTTTTCAACTTCAATTTCGGAATCGGTGAGTTATATTTCGGAAAAAGTAATCTCGATTTCAGAATTGGTTAGTTCGATTTCAGAAATAGTAAACGTAATTTCAGAATCGGTGAGATGAATTTCAGAAAAAGTCCATTCAATTTCAGAAATGGTAAGTTTCATTTCAGAATTGGTAGGTTCAATTTCAGAAGATGAATCCTTATATATGTTTGAAATGTTCTTAATTGCAAAAGAGAAGATTGTTTAATGGACATCCTGCAGATACCATAGTGGTAATTCTGGATAATGCACCTGCACATTCAAAAATATATATATAGAAGAGATATGCATGGAGGAATGTTATATTTTGCAGATTGGCACCTTACAGCCCTATGTTGAATTCGATTGAACATATATGGAGTGCCTTCAAGTCAGAGGTGAAGAGCTTTTTCAAGAGCATCGCCAAAGGGTCATAGCTGGCGATCCGAACAGATTGCTCAACCAGATAGAATTCAGACTGCGATGTCTTGAAGAATGTGCAGATCATTCGATGAAAATGATAACACCTCAAATGTGTTTGCATTCTTATAATCATGTGCAACGCTACTATCCTTCTGCGATTCGGATGGAAGACATCTGTGGATTAAATTGAGATTATAATTATGTTATTGAATTGTTTTTGAACAGTTAAATATTGTAATATGGTTTGTTAATCACACATGCAATTGGAAATATCTCAAACAAACAAAAGGATTTATTTTCTGAAATTGAACCTACAAATTCTGAAAAACAACTTACCATTTCTGAAATTGAATGGACTTTATCTGAAATTCAACTCACCGATTCTGAAATTGAGTTTACCATTTCTGAAATCGAAGTAACCAATTCCGAAATCGAGATTACTTTTTCCGAAATATAAGTTACTGATTCCGAAATTGAAGTTGAAAAGGCAAAGGTCGCGTGCACGATGACCGACCCTGGAGGCAAAATATTGAAACACAACCTCATTCTTCTGTGAATTATTGAAACACAACCTCACTTTTTTACTGTCTTTCTTTCACCAATATCATCACTCAATAGACTTCTACCAGTTTTTCCACATGTTTTTAGATTCAACATATGCAGAGAATCCGTGAAAGAAACCAAAGAAATATTCGAAGAATTGCTGAAAAGAGTTTTCATTCCCGGTATGCAACAAATAGGTGAAGATTACTACGATTCTGCGGAAGCTTTAGTAGGAGGACTTCAAGGCATGACTCCTGGTCTCCGATTGGACGTTTTGCTCCATTTGCTGCACATGGTTATGGATGGACACAATGACATCACCAAATCCGCAAAAGACCATTTGGCACCGCTGGACGAATCGGGGCTTGCGAAATTGAAGTTGTTGATGAATATTCAGTGGGCGATGCAGTATCGCGTTTTCAGGTTTTTCATCGATAAGTTTTATTATTCGATGATTTGGTGTTGGAGGAATTTTCCCATTGCGGCTTATTGGAAATTTGGAATAAAAGATGCGAAAATAAAAATATAAAAGCTTGTATTATATCTATACATATATAATGCTAGTTTATGGTTTTTGAAAATAAACAAAATTATAAATAACGAATCCAAATTTTATTTTGTCATTTTCTCCATATGTACAGGAACCATTTGGAACGAAACATTGCATATATAATCCAGTCATTTGGTGACAGAAAGCACTGGATTCAGGAAAAAATTGCTGAAGAATTTTTCTCGACGGATCTATATGGTTTTTGTGGTGTTGAATCTGAAAATCTAGTTATCGACTAGATTCGAAACGACACGAAAACCGCAATAAACCATGCAAAGTCGTGACTTATTTTGATTTTTGGTTATAACTCCGAAACGACGTGATTTAGAGAAAGCATACATCCAACAAAAGTGAAAGCCTATAAAATTCACTGTAAAACAAGATCAGAATCGGCTCGATATCTTGTTTGATTCAGCGGCTAGACTGCCCTGAAATTGACAATAGTTATAAAGTTACAAAGTCCAAAATATTCGTATTTTGAATTAATATACATCACCAGGCTGCGATTTTACTAAATATAAACTATTGCAGCACAAGACACGCCCACCATAATACGTCATATCTCATACTGTGCTCCAACGCAAGAACTGAAGCTTTCTCGTTGTCAATCTCTTGTACGCAGTAAATTCATACGCCCAAATGGTCTACTGGTTAGCGCTGTCGACTCTTAGTCTGAAGGTTCATGGTTCGAATCGCTGTGAACTCGAACTTTTTTTTGCAACTTTTTTTTTTTCACCAATGTTTTTTTACTTCATTCTGGTTTTCCTTTTTCATAAAATATTTGAAGTCAAATAGGTTAGTGCGTTTAGGATAAACAGTCTCATTTTATTCAATTTTGTTGAACAACTCAACTTTTGAAATATATTATTAATCAATGTGTTTCTACACTCCATTCGGTTTTCCTTCCTCAAAAATATTGCAATCAGGGATAGGTTAGTTCGTTGAGGATAAATAGTCTCTGAGTTTTGCCTAAGTAAAGTACTTTGAAGATGAGATATAACGTGGTATGTGCTACTTTTTCAATCGATTCATTTATATGAATCAGCTACGTTGTGCTGTCAAAGATTAGATTTTGCAGGATTGTGCTGGGCTCGATTATATTTTGCAATGCCGTAGTAGGGGGCGTGTCTTGTGCTGCAATAGTTTATATTTAGTAAAATCGCCACCAGGCTATAGTGTTTCCTCCTAGTGTGTACCGTGGAGTATCCTGAACCTCTTTCCTCAACATTTTATGCCTATGAGTGAGCAATGCTATTGTCTCCGCTTGCATTCTTCTGAACGGAGACAATAGCATTGCTTCCTGTTCAGTTGATATAGATAGAACATGGTATACACTACTGAAAACTGAACATGAAAATGGTAGATTCAAGATCAATTAATGAAAACATCCTGTAACTCATTTATAGACTGAAATCACTCATTCATATGCCAACATACAACATCATATGCCAACATCAGATCGTGAGCAGATACGTTCCCGAATCGTCCAAAGATATAAAATAAAAATATTCGTATTACTTCAATATATTTGTAGTGCGACAAATCAGATGATTTGCCCCAAAATGTCACTGCGTTTAACAAATTTTTCTATCAGGGAGTCTAAAAGCAAAATCCAATAGCATATCAGTGACAATTTTGTTTAAAAAAATGTTTGGAGGAAAGAAATATAGATATATTGAAGAAATATCGATTTTATACTCATCTTTGGACTTTTCGGGACCGTATCTGCTCCCGTTCTCAACATATAAATATGCAAAATATTTTTCTTCGAAAGTTTTGACACTTCTCACACTGAAATCCCAAAGAAACAAGTATAATGCATATAGGTACCACCTCCTCGATTAACCTACAGACAGTATTCAATACGCATATATTTATTTTATAGAAACGAGGAGATAGATTCCAACAATTGTGTAATTAGCCTGTTTTTCGATTTGTCAAAGGCATTTGACACGGTGACATCCGAATTTCTAAATAATAAGTTGAAATTGCTTGCTTTTCCAAATAATTTATTGACATGGTTGAAATCATATATGTTTGGACGTAGCATGACTGTGAGAAATAACGGTTTTACGTCAGGTGAGCGTGATGTTAAATTAGGAGTACCGCAAGGGTCTGTTTTAGGACCCCTACTATTCGTGCTATTTGTCAACGACCTGCCCGAAAACGTAACTGATTGCTACATCACCATGTTTGCTGATGACACAACAATTACAGTTGCTAGTCCTGATCCAGATGTACTATTAACAAATGTCGGCAAAATCATTGATTCGTTCACATCATGGTGTGACAGAAATCAACTCATTTTAAACACAACAAAGTCAGTTTCAATGAAATTCTATAATAGGAAAGATAATATCCCTGGTGAAATAAACGCTATTGATGAAATAGTTATGTCGCAAGATGTGAAATTCTTGGGAACAATCATGTATGCAAGAAACTAAATTCAGCATTCTTTGCAATTAAGCAAATGAAAACATGTGTAGGCAAGGAGAGTTTATTAAGCATTTATTATGCAATGGTATACTCACACATTTCCTTCAACACTATGTCATGGGGATGTGGTAAAGATTTTGATAGAGTGTTTATAGGGCAGAAACGTATCGTAAGATTAATATTTGATATGGACTATCGAGATAGTTGCAAACCAATATTTATAAGAGAGAAATTGTTGACTGCTCCATCCATCTATATTTTGAAATGTTTGAAATGCATTAGAAGCAACTTGAAATCCTTCGATACCAATGCTTCTTCGCATGCTTACAACACACGCAATGGTAGTCACCTAAAAATACCAAACCACAAAACCACGAAATTCCAAAATTCTCCTCTCTACAAAGCACTGAGTTTCTACAACAAACTGCCAACGGAAATTAAAAATTCTGAATGTGATAGATTATTTTTTAACAAAATAAAATGTTTGCTGACTGACAAATGTTACTATTCCTATCAAGAAAATTTGAATGATCCATTATTGTGAATTATTTTACTTGTAGTGTGCTGTCATCCTATTCCGTAATACAACTTCAATTCAGTGATTTTAATTATATATGGTCGTGGTCATTTGGACTCAGTCTATGATTTTATTTATACTGTTAATCGTTTCACTTTTAAATATGTATCCTGTGTTGTGCTGTCGTCAGATCCGTTTTGATTATATTTATTCATACGATTGTTATTTTTACTCAATGATCTACAATTTGGTTTTATTGTATCATGTGACTTACGCATTGTATGACTTACCATATGTACACACTGTACCTAAATGGCGAATAAATTATTATTATTATTATTATTATTATTATTATTATAAAATCCCAAATGATCAAGTAAAATGAAGAATATTGTAATTAATCGAATGGCACCTTGGCCGATCATGACTATCCTGATTAAAGTGATTGAAAAAAGGTACTTTCCTGTGCGGTGATGTGCACTTAAAGTTCGCGATTTGATAACCAGATAAGAATTATGCCAACCGATACCAATTGAATGATATATTTCAAAAACCTAGCTGTGCCACCCCTCAGTTTGAGCCAAGTCCATGGCACAGCGATTTGCTGCAATTATTCCGGACATGAAAGGAGATATTGTCCCTTTTGCAAATATTCAAATGTGCCGCGATTCAAAGAATATTTTGCATCTGTCGAAAGATACTATCCGATGAACCAGTGAAAACTCATCTGGTATTCGCACTGAATGTAATGAAAAAAAAACTTTCAGAATCTGTGAACACATAATCAGGACCGTGTTTGAGAAAGAAGTTGATGATGGTTCTACGAATACGAAATGTAGCGTATAGGAAAATCAATATCACCACTTTGCATATCTCATCAAAAGTTGCTATGGAAAAGTATTTTCATATTCTCTGTATCCAATAATAACGCAAAAAAATTGAAAATTGCACTGTTGATGGCTTTTGTTGTGCTATAGTTCCGAAAAATGTGTCAATAATACCGTCTCCGAGAAAGAACTGCAAGTCCTTTCATCTTCCATTCGACTTCGCGGTTACGTATATTACTAAACAACCACTAAATTCGCAATTTTTTGAAATCAAATCACAGAATTAGACTGACAGAAGTGACATCAGATATTTGATAACTTCAAAAGAATGATAAATATGCCTACAACGCAGGTGTCCTTAATGTTAAAAACTCAAAATTTCACGTCGATAATTTTCAGATTTCAAAATAATGTAATATCTTCTCAATATTGATTCGTTCTTTCTTCTGTCACAGAAAAAAATAGTGAATTATATACGGGAAAAATATTAGATTTTAGCTCACGGTTTTTTGTCCCCCTCCGCTACGCGTCGGGAGTTAACACAACCTGGAGCGAAAAAATCTAATACTTTTTTCCCTTGTATAATAAATAACTATTTATGCGTACTTTGCGTACCAAAAGTGTAAAACAAAAACAAAGCGGCTTTAGGGATATTGTGAAAATACTGTTTTTTTTTTGGCGAAATTTCAACATTCTGTATCTTAGAAATAAAGCGGATTATCACCCTTCAAAACCATCATTCAATTATGAAACACCCTGTATACATGATAACAGTCATGGTTTTTGCTAAATTCGTATTTCACAGTGCTTTACGTTTTGAAAAAATAATGAGTACCTTAAAAATGATTCGAAATTCTACCAGATATGGGTATTTTTGATAATATTCATCAGTGTTTAATCACACGCGGTTTTAAATTTATAATGAGAAAATTATTAAAAAATTGTAGATTCAGGGTTCAGGGCCCAGGGCCGTCTCGTTTTCCCCCGAAGAAAATCTGGTACAATCTTGAATTACTAGCTCAATCTTTCTCGTAAAGCGAATCTGGAGATTATATGTTGTTGGGCATACTTCCTCAGGCAATGAATTCCAGAGCCTAGCCGTTCTATGGATGAAGGAGTTTTGAGTTCGACATCTTTCGAGGTTGACAACGAAAGGATGTGTTGACTGGGCTTGTCTAGTTCGTCTGACTGGTCTTGCTAGTGAAGGGATGATAGCAGAGATTTCTGAAGAATATTTTTCGATAGAGAAGTGAAAGGTCGCCGACCTTTCTACGGTGTTCCAATGATGTCAAAGAATGA